GGTGGAGTGGAAAGGCGGGGCTGGTGATGGGGCGGCTGCGAGGTGGGCACCCACCTTGCTGCGGGCTGCGGCCGGGAGCGGGCACCCCGAGGTGCTGCAGGGGTTTGAGTGTGTGGGCAGCGTTTCTGTCCGTGACTCGGACACACTTGAGTCACCGAGCGTGCTGTGCTGCAAGGGCTTGGCTGAAGGCAGCGGGGTTTGTGCTGTAGAGGTGAATTCAGTAAGGCCATGCAACTCAGAGAGGTCGATCTCCTGATTGCACAGGGCAGGAGGTGGGGTGGTCTCACCTGCTTAGCGTTTTGGATGCCCACGTGCCAGGAAGGAGCCGCTGCTTGAGGGAAAGCTCAAGTTTTTGGAGAACGTGACCTGTAAGGGACAGCCAGAGGACCTGGTTTCCTTTCTAGAGATGAGAAAGGAAAGCTTTCACGTCTGTTAATGCCTGCATGTATCTCTCAGGTCTGTCTTGGCACCAGCTTGGTTCAGCCTTTGCTACTTTCCTTCCCATAGATAAAAAACTAAGGGAGCCTGAGTGGAGATACTGAGGAAGAAGCTCTTCAGCAGCAGGTTTGGTGACATGGGGGCAGGTTGTGTGAGAAGCTGGCTGAGCCTCCTCCAGGGCAAAGGGGGAAGATGTCAGAGCAAGTGTTGCAGATTATCTTGACCTGGATCTTAATATACTTGATCCTCTCTGAGGGGGGTGGGGTTCTTGAGCTGCCTTTTAGCCCTCAGGATTAAAGAAATACTTCAGTAATTGCTCCATAACGTTCTAAAGCCTGGCTTTGGCTGGCAGCCTTTCGTGTCACCTTTCATATAACTTGATCTTCTAAACAAATTCCCAAATGCTGCAACTAAGTGAGTGAAGCAAGGCTGGCTGTCCTTTTGCCTAGCCCTGCTAAGCCCATGATCAATGCAGTAAGCTGAAAGCTGCAAAGTAAACCTGGTGAAGGGGCGAGCACGCCCATCCATCTTGGCTGCTGGGAACTGGGTAAAGCCTGAGGAGTCCCGTGTAGCTTGTGGTGGCTTCATTGTTTGTCCTGAGAAGTGTGTTGTTGTTCGTGGCTTGGCTCTGTACGGGCAGTTCTTCAGCTTTACCTTCTCTGAGCTGGGTGAGACTGGGGATGATGGCCCATCTCCAGCTGCAGAGCACCCTTTGGTGGTAGGGATTGCCTTTCCCTTGTTTTCCCTCCCGGATGGTTGGGCAGACACTGGAGTGCTCCGGGTGGTGCCACTGATTTGGGTTGCAGCAAACGGGCCTCTTCCCTGTGCCATGCCAGGGCTGGCATGGTGGCTTGCCTGGTGAATCATGAGTGAATGCCACTGAGAGCGGAGCTTTTTGCAGACACTGTGGCATTAGCCCCATGTCTTGGCCAAGCTCCAGCTTGGGCGATTCCACTCGGACACTGTAAGTGCTCCCTGTCGCCTTTGCCCGGCGCGAGGCTCTGCTCTTCTGCCTGTGAGTTCTTGGAGACTTGTTAGGAGCTGTTACACAGCTGCTACTTTCACTCTCCGGGTGTTTTCTTGCTGGATTTGTTTGTAGAGCCTGACTGTGGGACTCTGAAAGAGACTCTGTTAACGCCAAGCAATTGATTTGTCCGTAAAAGTTGGCTTTATTTTTCCACCAGCCCCCCTGCTCTGACGGCTGCTGAGGGCTTGGGTGAGACACAGCATAACTAGTATCAGTTCTGGAGTGTAACAATTATCAGCTGAATTAGTGATGGTTCATAACAAGATGGCTATAATTAGGTCAAGCTGTCTTGTTTGTTGAACTGCCCTTCAGCTCCCAAACTTGGCAGTGAGAATGAACTTTGGGCCTTTTTTAGGATTGCTGTCAGTCTCCCTTGGCGAAGAGCACTGGGAAACGGCGCCTTTGCTCCTCTCTTTGCTGCCAGAGCCCTTGGACACAGACACACTGCTGTCCTCTCACTCTCACAGGGGCTGCTGAGCTGCCATGGGGAACACCACCAGCGAGCGAGTGTCTGGGGAGCGCCATGGCTCCAAGTCCCACCGCTCAGATGGCTCTGGTGCCCCCCACCCTGCCAAGGAGCACCCACACAAGATCATGGTGGGCAGCACCGACGACCCCAGTGTTTTCAGCTCCCACGACTCTAAGGTAGGGTCTGGCTGCTGCCTTCCCTGTCCTGCTCTCTGGGGCCCTGGCTGGAGCTCCAGCTCACTGACTCTGCAGGGCTGTGTGTGAATGTGTTCCCAGCCATGTGAGGGGTCTGGGGAGAGCTGGGAGGCTGGAGGAGCTCTGCAATGTCCTTGTCTGGGATGTGCAGTTGGGCTGGTAGAGGCCAGAGGGAAGTAAACATGGTTCTAGTTGTCTCTGTGTTTTAGTCAGGCTCTGGTTTTCTTTGCTTAGATTCCTGGGGAGAAGGAGTTTGTGTCATGGCAGCCAGATCTGGAGGAGTCAGTGAAACCTTCCCAACAGGCTCGTCCCACTGTCATCCGCTGGGCTGATGGAGGCAAAGAGGTCTTCATCTCTGGGTCTTTCAACAACTGGAGCACCAAGATCCCACTCATCAAAAGGTAGCCAGTCCCTCACGTTACTCTCTGTTCTCCTCCTCTCCATTGCAGGGAGTGTTTTCCCTTCTCTCTGCTGGTAGCTGTTCCCTTTGCTCATCAGACTTCTCTCAGTTCACTCAAGCTGTAGGGTCTGATCACAAATCTGTGGTCACCATCCTCCCTGGGTGGTGCTGTGTGGTGGTGGAAACTTGGGAAACAGAGGGACAGGACAGGATGGGCCACTTTGCTTGCCCAGCTGGATGACACACAGCAGCTAATCCTGGCAGCAGAGCCCTGCCCAGGTACACAGACTCCACTGGATGCTGTCAGCTCTTCCCTTGGCTGTGGCCTTGCTCCACACCTCGTTGCACTGTTGCCAGTGAGGGTTGTTTATTTCTCACTCACGTCTTCCTGCCCTAATGATGTTCTCGCTGTTCTGCAACACATCTGTGATTTCTCTGGAAACTGAAACTGTGAAATACTCTGGGCATAATCCCAGCAAATCATCTGGAATGGGTTTATCTCAACTGCCGGCTTAACAAAGCTGCTGCATTTGCTGCCCCCATCCTGCAGTGCCAGCACAGGGTTAGATGTGTTGCCAGTTTGTCTTGCACAAGGTGCCTGCCGTGCCATGCTCCTGGGAGGCTTGCCTGCCTCCTGTGCTCCTTGCAGCTGGCCTCCTGGGGGTTTGAGCCATGCTGCTGCTCTGAATGCTTGTGTTTCTCCTGGGTGATCCCTGATGATGAGCCAGCCTCAGCCCCCTTGAAGGTGTTGGGGTAGAGGGGCTGGGCAGAGCGGGGAAAAGTGTTGTTTTCTGGGAGTCTGTGGAAGGGCAGCATCCGGAGCATCAACAGGGTAATACTGTCACATGTCTGTTCTCTCTGCACAGCCACAACGACTTTGTTGCTATCCTGGACCTCCCAGAAGGAGAGCACCAGTACAAGTTTTTTGTGGATGGCCAGTGGGTCCATGACCCGTCTGAGGTAATGCTTAAAGCCTGGTCCCTGCAGATCTGGTCTTCTGCAGGGGTCTAGACATCTAACTGCAGCAGAGGGAGAACAGGAAGAGCAGAGGGTATTGGCCAAAATGAAAGGGGCACCTCCATCCCACATCTGCACGGAGTGCAGCTAGAAACTGGCCACCTGTGCTCCAAGTTAATGGTGCGGAAAAGATGTCTTGGGTTGCAAGGGTCTAGGGAGCATCATGTGTTTTGACTAGAGGTGAACATAGGAAGACTCTTACCTCAGTTCTTTCCAGCCTGTGGTCACCAGCCAGATGGGGACGATTAACAACCTGATTCACGTCAAGAAGTCTGACTTTGAGGTGTTCGATGCGTTGAAGGTGGATTCCCTGGAGAGCTCAGAAACCTCAGGTCGGGGTGAGTTTTTGTGTCACTACCGCTTTGCATGTGCTATTTTCCACCTCCTCTGCTCTGAGAGTTGCTGCTCTGGGGGTGAACTGACCCCCTGAGCAGAGATGTGGGCCTGCACCTGGGAACAGTAGTGTTTGGCAGCATGTCCTCAGCAGCCCACAGCTGAGGCCTTGTCTCCGTGGAGGGGCTCTGCTGGTGTAACTGGTTCTGTGGCAGCACCATCCTGGAGCTGGGTCAGTGCCTGTGCTAGGCTGGGGCAGCCATTTCAGACTGGTGAACATGAAGAACATCAACCCTTTCTGTCTGCTCATCTGTGAGTAAGTCATTTGATCTGGGGTACAAGCAAGGCGAGAGCAGCATCCTAGTTATTTTCAGCAGCGACTCTTCGTTTTCAATCCAAGGTAATTTGTACTAGTGTGAGCACAGCAGAAACGACCTCTTGTGTTACAGCAGCAGGTCAGGTTACCACGTGGACACCAGCAGTGCTGGCTGGGTGTGTAATGCTGGCAGGCAGCTCAGCCGTGTCTTGGTCCAGGGCTCTCTGAGTGTGGCCTGCTGTCCCTGGTACAGACCCCATCTCAGATACAGCCTCAGCTTCTCGTCCTTGCCCAGCCTGGGCATGAGATACTTCACTGGAAAGAAGACTAGCAAGCAGCAGGAGCTCCAAGGAGATGGAGCCCTTCCAGGTGCTGGCTGTTCCAAAAGCAGGTCAGATGTGGCTGGGAGATACAGCTAGTCCAGCTTCCAGTGACCACAAGCTCCTGTGTTCCTCAGGGGGGCTGAGCAGCTGATCAGTCTGGACTTCCCATCTGCCCTTTCAGGGAGCTCCTTGTCAAGCAGTTCTGCAGCACCAGGAGTGTGCAGGCGTGCTGCTTGCTGTGCCCTTGCTGCAAAGGGTTCAGCTCTAGGGCAAGCCAGTTGCTTGCTACAGACAGAGGGACCCCACTGTGCTGAGAGCCATGCACAAGGATCTTGGGGTGGATACCACAGGGTGCTTGTCTTGTCTTGTGTCAGTGCATGTGCCAGCTTACAGCCCTGCTTGGGCCTGTCCAGGGCTTGCCTGGCTGCTTACTCTGCTGCGAGAAGGCTGAGCACGTGCCTGTTGGTCATGGTAGATGTTTGTGCCTGAAAGACCCTGCTAGGTCCTTCTCAGCATCTTGGGAGCTGCTCTGTGCTCACTATTCCTGCTTTAGCCATTTTAAATCTCCTTCTGTCTCTTCTCTTTAGACTTATCAAGCTCACCACCTGGTCCTTATGGCCAAGAGATGTACGTGTACCGGCCCGAGGAGCGCTTCAAATCCCCACCCATCCTCCCGCCTCACCTGCTCCAGGTCATCCTCAACAAGGACACCAATATCTCGGTGGGTAGCAGCTCACTGCCTGCATATGGAGGGCCACAGAGGGGTTTGAAGGGGAGTCCTGTCTGCAGGAAGTTCTATTCTTCCCCTGTGATACTCCTCTTCTCCTAGTGTGACCCAGCACTGCTGCCCGAGCCCAACCATGTCATGCTCAATCACCTCTACGCGCTCTCCATCAAGGTAAGCTGGGCAAGGGAAGGGGGGCTGCTGTGGCTCCCAGGAGCCTGCAGCACCTACAGGGAGCAGCACATGGACAGCCAGGGCATGGAAATAGTAATGCAGGGATGGGAGGACCCACCTAAGGACAGTTTGGCTGCCCAGTGGTATGTGCAGGGGTGTAGGGTATGGTCTCCTCACAGCCACCCTGTAGCTGCCTCCCTGAAGTGTGGTGGAGTTGGGCAGCCCTGGGCTCTCTCTCCTGTTGCACACAAGACCCTTCCCTTACTCTGCCCTGGCTTCCTGTTGTGGGTGTTGGATGTGCCTTGCTGGCTGTGAGGCTGGGGACAGCGGGGACAGGCAGGGGCTGCTCCCCAAGCCAGCAGAGCACCCTTCCCAGTGGCCACCTTGTTGGCGCAGCCAGGCTGGGCTGAGCTCTCCCTCCTGCCCCCGCTGACCCTGTGCCCTCGCAGGACGGCGTGATGGTGCTCAGTGCCACGCACCGCTACAAGAAGAAGTACGTCACCACGCTGCTCTACAAGCCCATCTGAGCCGGGGCCTCGCCCGCCCCCCACGCAGGACACTGAGCGCCGCTTTGTCTGCACACGCTGGGCCACAGGACTGGGCGAGAACTGGCCCCTGGCTCCAGCCTCCCACCTGGCAGGGACACAGGCCCCGTCGATGAGCCCAGGGCCGCTGGGGCCTGTGACACTGTCCATCCTACTGGTGTGGTTTGATTTAACCCTTGGTTTCTACCCACCTACAGCTCCCCCTTGGCTTCTCTAAGTCTCTGAGGGCACTTTTGCTGCTCACCAGAACAGCCTTTCCTCGTGCCCAACACGGAAGGGACTTCACTGTACCTGTCTTCTTCATCCTGCAAGGGCCCCAAAGTGGTCCTGGCACTGTCCCCAGGAACATGTCCTACCTTCTGAAGGTTGCTCTGCTGTCCTGGTGATGAGCCTTCAAGGCCACCTTGATCCCATGAGGCTCTGGGACACCTCAGCCACCCACCTGCCCCCTGTCCTGCAGCCCTGCTGTGGGGCTGCCCCCCTCCTTGTTCTCCCCAGCTTCGAGGTGGGCTCTCAGCTCTAACTGTAGCCCCAGCCCTCTGCCAGGTTCAGCGTCGAGCCAGCAAGATGGAGGAGAGTACAGCTGGATGCAGCCACGCTTACCTGCCACCAGGACAGCACCATCATGGACTGACCACCTGCCCCATCCCCAGCATGGAGTCCTCAGCATGGAGTGCTGCTGTGGGGCAGGGCTGACTGTCCCAGCCTGAGGGACACCTGCACACTCCCACGCTGGAGGGGCCTGGGGAGAGTGGTGCAGGACAGGTACCCCAGGACCCCCGCTACACTGCCTGCTGCAGAGCAGTGCCACCTGACAGGGTTTTCTCTATTTATTACAGTATTTATTGTTCTCGGTGCTGCTTGCCTGGTGTTGGTGCAGGGCTCTGGAACAGAGGGATGGGAAAGGAGCGCCCACTGGGGCTGCTCTTGGGGTGCTGGGGTGGGCTCAGAGCCACCCCCTTGGGGCCTGCTGGTGCCTGCAGCCCCTGCACTGTGGGTGGGTTGGGGCAGGGGGCTGCACTACTGCAGAGACGGGCGTGCCAGAAACACTACAACCCAGAGGAAAGCTTTATTGGGCACTCTGCAGCCACTGAACAGAACGCAGCATTTCTTACATCTTCCTCCTGCCCTGGGGCCCTGACATGCCCAGGAGCCCCCATAGCACGGCTCAGAAACCTCTGTCTATATACATATACATACATCCACCAGCAGGGACAGATAAGCAGCAAGGTTATGGGGTGACCAGGTCCTGGGGTGAGGGGTGCTTGGTGCAGAAGGCTGTGAGGCCCTGCTCTAAGCACTGTGGAAGAAGAGGGACAAGCACTGAAGCACAGGGCAGGCAGAGCCCAAGCCAGCAGCTGCTGCTGCAATGCCAAGCAAAGGCAGGTGGAGGGCACACAACTAAGACAGAAGCCACCACTAACTGCAGCGCTGGGCACCCCAGACCCCTGTCCACCCCAGCCCTCAGCAGCAGGGCCAGGGTCTGCTCCAGCCCTCTCGTGTGGCACCGCAGCGCCGCTTTGTCTGCACACGCTGGGCCACAGGACTGGGCGAGAACTGGCCCCTGGCTCCAGCCTCCCACCTGGCAGGGACACAGGCCCCGTCGATGAGCCCAGGGCCGCTGGGGCCTGTGACACTGTCCATCCTACTGGTGTGGTTTGATTTAACCCTTGGTTTCTACCCACCTACAGCTCCCCCTTGGCTTCTCTAAGTCTCTGAGGGCACTTTTGCTGCTCACCAGAACAGCCTTTCCTCGTGCCCAACACGGAAGGGACTTCACTGTACCTGTCTTCTTCATCCTGCAAGGGCCCCAAAGTGGTCCTGGCACTGTCCCCAGGAACATGTCCTACCTTCTGAAGGTTGCTCTGCTGTCCTGGTGATGAGCCTTCAAGGCCACCTTGATCCCATGAGGCTCTGGGACACCTCAGCCACCCACCTGCCCCCTGTCCTGCAGCCCTGCTGTGGGGCTGCCCCCCTCCTTGTTCTCCCCAGCTTCGAGGTGGGCTCTCAGCTCTAACTGTAGCCCCAGCCCTCTGCCAGGTTCAGCGTCGAGCCAGCGAGATGGAGCTGGATGCAGCCACGCTTACCTGCCACCAGGACAGCACCATCATGGACTGACCACCTGCCCCATCCCCAGCATGGAGTCCTCAGCATGGAGTGCTGCTGTGGGGCAGGGCTGACTGTCCCAGCCTGAGGGACACCTGCACACTCCCACGCTGGAGGGGCCTGGGGAGAGCGGTGCAGGACAGGTACCCCAGGACCCCCGCTACACTGCCTGCTGCAGAGCAGTGCCACCTGACAGGGTTTTCTCTATTTATTACAGTATTTATTGTTCTCGGTGCTGCTGGCCTGGTGTTGGTGCAGGGCTCTGGAACAGAGGGATGGGAAAGGAGCGCCCACTGGGGCTGCTCTTGGGGTGCTGGGGTGGGCTCAGAGCCACCCCCTTGGGGCCTGCTGGTGCCTGCAGCCCCTGCACTGTGGGTGGGTTGGGGCAGGGGGCTGCACTACTGCAGAGATGGGCGTGCCAGAAACACTACAACCCAGAGGAAAGCTTTATTGGGCACTCTGCAGCCACTGAACAGAACGCAGCATTTCTTACATCTTCCTCCTGCCCTGGGGCCCTGACATGCCCAGGAGCCCCCATAGCACGGCTCAGAAACCTCTGTCTATATACATATACATACATCCACCAGCAGGGACAGATAAGCAGCAAGGTTATGGGGTGACCAGGTCCTGGGGTGAGGGGTGCTTGGTGCAGAAGGCTGTGAGGCCCTGCTCTAAGCACTGTGGAAGAAGAGGGACAAGCACTGAAGCACAGGGCAGGCAGAGCCCAAGCCAGCAGCTGCTGCTGCAATGCCAAGCAAAGGCAGGTGGAGGGCACACAACTAAGACAGAAGCCACCACTAACTGCAGCGCTGGGCACCCCAGACCCCTGTCCACCCCAGCCCTCAGCAGCAGGGCCAGGGTCTGCTCCAGCCCTCTCGTGTGGCACAGCTCAGCAGCCATTAGGCTGTTCCATGGCCAGAGGCATTGCTCCCAGCCCTGCCTGGGGCTCAAGCGACGGGCAGGACCTGCTGAGTCTTCACCTGGTGAGAGATCACACATGGCAGTAAGGGAAGCATTGCCAGGGTAGGCCTGGGGACACAGAGGACAGGAAAGGAAAATGTGTCCTCTGTGTCCCCCCACACTCCTCGTACCTAGCTGGCCCCTCAGCACCCCCTGTCAGCCACCACTCTGCCATCTGTGCCCTCCCCAGGGCATCAGGGCTCACCAGGGCTAGGGCACCCAACCCCTTATCCTGAGGTAGATTTGGGGCAGACTCACCTCCAGGTTTGTCCTGGCCTTGCGCAGCACATTGTGGGTCCTGGTCACTGAGAGGGAGAGAGGGACAGGGTCAGTGATGTCCCTGCATCATGGAGCCACCCAGGCACACAGGGACCAGGCCAGCTTGGCCGTGCCACCCCACAGCAGGACGCCACATACGCTGGCTGACGATGAACTGCTCCATGCTGTCCTTGAGCCGGGCTGTGCTGCGCAGCCGCTCGGCCGTGCTCTGCAGGGCGTCCTCCCTCTCGGAGAGCTGGGCTCGCAGCGCCACGATCTCACCCTGTAGCTCCTGCTCCTGGGATGAGACGGGCAGCACAAAGAGCGGTGAGCAAGCACCCAGCCCCACCGCCCTGCCAGCCCCGGCCCGGTGCTTACCTTGCCCCGCTGCTGGGCAGGGCTGGCAGGCAGCACGGTGCTCCAGAAGGCGGCGAGGAGAGACACACACTCCTCCAGGACACGGTGCAGGGAGCTGGCGCTGCCCCAGAGGTGCCCTGCGCCTGCCCACCCCAAGGCCTGCAGGAGAAGGATGCAGGGAGCAGGTGCTGCCAGGGTATCTGCACCCCACTGCTCCCAG